GGTATTGCCATATGGTTTACCTCTGATACAAAATCAATACAATAAAGCCCCAGAGAGAAATACAAGTTATTTCATGATGGCACATCTTGCCATCTTGTATATTTAGACCACTAACAGCTATGAACTATTTTCTTAAGTGTTAGTAATAACAAACAATATGTTACATTGTTTGTTATTACTGTTATAACTGTGCTGCTGCTGGTATGAGTGATGATACTTTTATTTCTAATAAAAAGCAACAGAGGGTCCTGTGGCACCTTTAAGACTAACAGAAGTATTGGAGCATAAGCTTTCGTGGGTGAATGCCGACTTCATCAGACACAATTATGTATTATTTATTTATTTATTTATTTCTAATGTTTATCTGACACATTAAATCAAACAGGACTAAATCCTGAGATTAAACAATAAATTATTTCAGTCAATCACAGTGAAATCCTGTGAATTCACATTTATGTGTAAAAAGAAAAAACTACCGAAGCAACAAAGGGTGGTTCACCTGATTTGTGTATTAAATATGAAAAAAATATAACCAATGCATGCTGCATTGCACAAGCAGTATACATACTGTATGCATTTGGGTTACCTGAAGAGTCATGGCCTGATATTTCGCTGCCTTACACATTGTGTGGTCACTAACACCTGTCCAAAATGGATGTGTTATATTTCTATTCTGATTCTCACTTTACACGGGTGTGAAGAGCTACCCCAGTAGCGAAATCCTGCCTTTCATTTCCTCAGTGCTATGATGATGTTAATGTTGCATTGGCAATCAAAAGGCAGAGCCATATGCTGAAGGCTTGAACTGCTGTGTACGTTAAAAGAAGCAAACTTGTTGACTCATTGTGTACTGGTTTTTGCTCCTTGTGATACATCTGAAGAGAACGAGCACTTAAAGAAATGGACTAGAACATGACTCTGTATAAATGTATTTGTAAGTGTCTATTTATAAGGCATTTTAAAAGGCTGCTCCGTTGTATGCGTCAGTGAGCAGCAGATGGAGCCACAGCAGGCTCAGAAGAAATTTTCTCTAACTTTTAGCTAATGAGCTTTACTTATCACAGGGCAAACTGTTTATTTTCTTTGCTGCTAGAAAGGTGTTTTTGTATCCTTCTGTCAGATTTAAACTGCAGCCTAAATAACACATTTCCTTGCATCTAGTGCAATTCGCCAGTGATGTTTCTTACTAAATGGTTAATTTACCACTGCAATTGTAGTTTCTTTGCCAGGCGACAAAGACACAATGTGACTGAAAGCAAAAGGTTTTTACAGCAGATAACACAAATTCACTAAGAATTGAATTTTCAACAACTGTTATAGGAAAGTTAGAAGACTTAGGCCATAAACAGCTCTCCTCCTATATAAATAGCAGAGAGACATATTTTTTAAGGTAGCTTCTGCATTATGGACAATGGAGAGGGGCCAATGCTGAAATTTAATTTCTATTTTTCCTCATACACCATACTTACTTTCTTATGCCAAAAGGCGTAATACACCTCTACCTCGACATAATGTGACCCAATATAACATGAATTCGGATATAATGCGGTAAAGCAGTTCTCCGGGGAGGCAGGGCTGCGCACTCTGGTGGATTGAAGCAAGTTCGATATAACGCAGTTTCACCTATAACGCAGTAAGATTTTTTGGCTCCTGAGGACAGCGTTATATCGAGGTAGAGATGTACATTTTTAGTAAAACTAGTATGTCTAGATTAGTAAATATCATAAAAATCCTCTAACACAGTATTATATACCAATGAAAGTACTGCACCAAGACATGACAACTTTACTACAATTTGCAGACAGAAAACCTGATCCTGGTTTAAAGTAGGGCAACTCTAGCAGTACAAAGGAGCCTTAAAGAAGATGGAAATGTACCTTGCACACATTTAAAGACCCTTTTACACTGGCAGTATGGTGTAAGCTGGACTTGGTGTGAATGAGAATCGGGCCCAGAAACATTAAGATTCTTAAATTGAAACAATGATCTTAGACTATTGTTGTTATTTTAAAAAAACAAGTCAAATTTGTGAAATCCTGAAAATGCTAAATTAAATTAAAATTTCAAAAATGAAAAGTTTTTTTGGGGGGGAGGAATCATAGAATCATAGAATCATAGAAT